AATCCACTGTTAAAGTGATCGCTGAGGCAGCTGGTCAACAGTGGGCTGTCAGTGGCTAGGTCTGGGGGGAAGTCAAAAGTTATATGTGGAATATTCAGCTGTGTGGGGGTTCGCGGCCCCAAATCACCCACTGTTGTTCAAGGGTCAACTGTACTGTGTCTTTTATATATTAATACTGCAATTCCTGCTTTCTCATGGTTTGCTTTGCTTTGACAAAACTTTGCCTGACCTGCTCTGAACTGTTCTGTGTCTTCTTCTTTTTTTTTTTAATCACAACTTTATGTGGATAGAAATCACATACCGTTAAGACTCTCCGATTGAAAGTGCACAGCTCGGACGGGCATTCAGAGTTGTGCAAGCACCGCCACTGTGTTTGTTTGAAAAGAAAGTGTGAAGGTTTCGGGTTGACTCCTCTGTGAGGTTCTTGTATTTTATTTAACAGGAGAATCAGCCTGTGTCTCTACATCAGGCAGCGGCCAACTTTTTCTGCAAAAGCCTGGAGTGGCTATTTTCAGCTCCGTGCGGCTTGGGGTCTCTTTTGTAGCTGCCCATCTCTCATTGCAGTGCAAGAGTGCCCTAGATCGCAGGCAAATGAATGAGCAGAGCTGTGTGCTGATAAAGCTTTATTTGCAAAAACAGGTGGTGGGCTCCATTTAGCCCCTGATCCATGACTGATGTGTGTGTTTTTTTTTAAGATTTTATTTATTTATTTGAGAGAGAATGAGATAGAGAGAGAGGGCATGAGAGGGGGGAGGGTCCGAGGGAGAAGCAGGTTCCCCGCCGAGCAGGGAGCCCGATGTGGGACTCGATCCCGGGACTCCAGGATCATGACCTGAGCCGAAGGCAGCCGCTTAACCAACTGAGCCACCCAGGCGCCCCTATGACTTATGTGTTTTTAATTTCCTAATCTTGTGTTATGCTTTAAAATATTCATTCTTGGGGCACCTGGGTGGCTCAGTCAGTTGAGCATCCGACTCTGGATTTCAGCTCAGGTCGTGATCTCGGGGGTGTGGGATCCGTGTTCAGTGGGGAGTCTGCTTGGGATTCTCCCTCTCCTGCCCCTACCCCTGCTTGCACAAGCCATCTCTCTCTCTCTAAATAAATCCTTTAAAAAATAAAATATTCATCCTTGCTGTTTTCTGAATTTTCGATCTTTTGTAGATGCTGTTTTTCCTGTCTTTGTCTCTCTAGTTAATCTAAAAGGATATATATTGTTTTACATTTTATGAGTGACTGTGTGTGTGTATATATATATATATATATATATATAAACGTATGTGCATATATATAAGCACCTTGAACTTAATTTTGCCAGTATGATCATCTGTGAAATGGTATCTATATATTCTGCCCTTAAAAAATGAATATGGGGGGCTCCTGGGTGGCTCAGTGGGTTGAGTCTGCCTTCGGCTCAGGTCATGATCTCAGGGTCCTGGGATCGAGCCCCGCATCGGGCTCAGTAGGGACTCTGCTTCTCCCTTTCCCTCTGACCCATCCCCCTGCTTGTGAGCTCTCTCAAATAAGTAAATAAAATTTTAAAAAAAGGAAAAATATATTCAGGGGTGCCTGACTGGTTCAGTTGGTGGAGCATGTGACTCTTGATCCTGGGGTTGTAAGTTCAAGTTCCATGCTGAGTATGGAAATTACTTAAAAATAAATCTTAAAAAAAATTTTTTTTAAAGATTTTTTAAATTTATTTGACAGAGACAGCGAGAGAGGGAACACAAGCAGGGGGAGCGGGAGAGGGAGAAGCAGACCTCCCACGGAGCAGGGAGCCCGATGCGGGGCTCAATCCCAGGACCCTGGGACCATGACCCAAGCCGAAGGCAGACGCCCAACGAATGAGCCACCCAGGCACCCCTAAAATGGCGGTTTTTACAGCATGTCACATATACCATTTAAAAAATCATATGAAGGAAAAAGAAAGGGAAATGAAGCACAGAGCTGCCACGTGCTGGAAATGACAGAGGGACGTGTGTGGCTGGGGTAAATGGAAAGCTGTGCGAGGCCACAGGGACCAAACTACCTTCCAGAATGAACCCGGGCCCACACACACTGTTTTGGAAATGGACGATTTTCACCAAAGTCACAGAAGCAATGTTTTGGGAACTTAAAAGAATTCTAAAGTTCATTTGGACTATGTACTTAGAATAGTCCAGAAGATATTAAAAAACAATAATAGTGAGGAATTGATGATGCCAGATATTGTAATTACTCTAGTTTACAAGGTGCATTAAAACCGGAGGGAGCAGAGCAAACTGCTAGGATCCCCAGAAACGGAGCACTGTGGAAGTTAAGTAGCATTTCTGCTCTGTGTGGAAGGATCACACTGTGCTGGATTAGGGGGTTCCCAGTTATTAAAAAAATAAACATTTCTGGGGCACCTGGGGGGCACAGTCGGTTGAGCGTCTGACTCAGCATGGTCTCAGGTCATGATGTCAGGGTCATGGATCAAGCCCCACATTGGGCTTTGTGCTCGGCAGGGAGTCTGCTTGAGATTCTCTCTTTCCCTCCGCTGCTCCCCCTGCTTGTGTTCCCCCCCCTCTCTCTCTGTCAAAGAAATGGGTAAAATCTTTTTAAAAAGTATTAAAAAAAAAAGAAGAAAACTATGTAAGAAGCGGAAGAAAACAGTGGTGAATATTTGCATAAAGGTTTCCCCAGCCCAAGTTTGTAAGCTTGTCACCAAGGGTAGAAAACATCAAGGAAAAGAATGACCAAAAATGTGAAAGCTCCAAAAAAAAGAAAAAAAATGTTGAAATGATCATAATGTTAAAGATAAACAAGAAACCAGGAGAAATTTGTGTAACATATGACAAATTATATATAGAAGAGCTTTAATAAACAAGTATATTCAAAGGTCTGTAAGTCCAATATGTAAAGAGTTTTTATAAACCAGTAAGAAAAGACCTCTTCCCAATGGAAAAATGGACGAAGGCTATAAAGTGACAATATAAATGGTCAAGTGCATGGAGGATGTTTTCCTATCAAATTGGTAAATGACACATGGCCTACCATCCAGCGTTGGGAGGGGGATGTAAGGGCATGGGATCCATGAAATGTGTTGCTGGAAGCGTAAATTGGTGCCCCCTTTCTGCAGGGTACGCCTCAGCACCTCGAAATGTCCCACCACATGATGCCCTCTGACATGGGCACCAACCCTGGCATTCTACCTACATCCATCATCAGTGGTATTTGTAAAGATTTGACATTGAGGAGATTGTCACCAGTAAGTGCTGCCCACAGCCAGGAGCGATGTGTCCCATGCTGGGCCCGGCCTCCCGCAGGGCCCTGCCCTGCATCAGCCCAGCCCGCCCCCACGTGCGGCCCCACGCCGCCTCTCCCTTCTGTGGTCAAGACGGGAACCAGCACCATGTTCCCAGGCTTAGCCGTCGGTTGTTATGAACTGGGGAGGATTCGAACCGTCCCCGCCTTGACTTTGCTTCCGACCAGGAGCGTCTGGGGATGCGGCTGAGCAGGGCTCGTGTGACTGAGAAGCTGAGCGGTTCTCACTGTCCTCGGGGGCTCGTGGCTGCCACGCTCGCCAGCGTGGGTCTAGGGATAATGCCGCCCCCGGGGGGAGATTTCCAGTAGCGGGGGCTCCTGATCTCAGAGGGCTCAGCAAGCAGCTGCCGAGTTGCAGAGGAGCGCTTTCCCGGACACAGAGGCTGCCTGCTGTGTCATGTCCACTGGAAGGACAGTCCCTCGTGTGCTGGCCGGGTCCCAGCAACACGGCTGCCGCCCTAACCCACCCCCTCCCAGTCCGGCGCCTGTCCCCCATCACCTCTCCCGGCTGGACAAGTTCAGGGGTGACCTGCCCTGGGAGGATGAGTGACTCTGGGTGTGGAGGGAGGAGTCCCTTGGGAGCCGGCCTCCGACTCTGGCATTCCCAGTAGCCCAGGGCAAGGGGTGCCAGGCCTTCTGTGGGCAAAACGTTTCCTTCTAACAGGGGTCTGAGCCTCCCACGGCCGCTGCGACAGGTCACGGCCAACTTAGGGCTTAAAACCACATGGACTGATTCTCAGTTCTGGGCTCAGAAGTCCCAAAACCCCAGCGTGGGCAGGGCTGGTCCCCCCGGGGTCCCCAGGAGACCCGGCTCCGGCCTTTTCCTGGTCCGCGGCCCCCCTCCATCCTCGCCGCCAGCAGCGTGGGGTCTGCCCATCTCTGGGACTCCCACCCTCTGCCTCCCCCTCATGAGGGTCTTGTGAGGACACCGGGCCCCTGGGAACCCAGGGTCACCCCCACCTCGGGGGCCCTGACAAGGTCCCCTCTGCCGCGTGAGGGGACCCGTCCCAGGTCCCGGGGCGGGGGCCAGGATGGGGACATCCCTGGGGGACATTACAAATAACAACAGCTCCCAAATTCTTAGCGGGTTCTGGAAACTGTTGTGGTGCGTTTGCAAAATCAGTGGGTAAGGAAACAATGGCTCCTTGAGGTCTTTCCAAATACCGTAATTGCCAGAGAGGCAGCTCCCCTCGCGTGGAGACGGTGCGCCCTCTAGGGGCGAGCAGCCAGCCCCGGCCCCAGGCTCCAGCCCCACCTGCTCCCATTTTGCCAAAGACCCCAGCCCGGACCCCTGAGAGGACGCAATCCGGTCCCACTTCCCACAGAGAAGAAAGGGCTCTCGGGGTTCACAAACCAGGTGCCCCCGGCCAGAGCTAGCTGGCAGGAAGCCCCTCTCTGGTTTCGCTCTCCTGCTCCGCACAACGGTTGTTTTCTGGCTCCCTCTCACAGCAGGAAGGCAAGAGTTAAAATCGAGTTTGTTCAAGGGCCGGAAAAACGCTGACAGAACAGAAATGGGAGAGGGCGCCTGCGCCTGCCTCAGTTTCTCAGCCCTGACCTCCCCACCAGCCTGCACCCCACCGGTTCTGTGTATCTGTTTAGCCATTTGGGGGCACTCTGGCGAGCCACGAGCCCACAGCCGGTGGGGACAAGGGTAGGGACATGGCCCAACACCAGGCCCTGAGGCCAGGGAAGTGGAAATGACAAGCAGCAGACGCGGGTACACAGATGGCCCAGTGTATTCTGATGCTCGTGCGGGAAGAGCCGTGGGCAGGGAGGGTGGAGAGAAGTCCCTGCCACCTTCCCCGACCTGGCTGCGCCGTGGGACACAGTGGTCATGGTGCTTGGCCAAAGTTTTGCACTTAAAGGGAGCTACATTCGATCAGAAGGGGCCTCCTCGAGCTGGACCCCGGGGGTTTCCAGAAGGACCGAGGCCAAGGTCATGTTAATTGCACTTGTTGGCGTTGGGTGATGGTGCTCCTCGCTCCTGCGAGCATCCCAGACACCCAGAGGCACTCAAGAGTCGGTGCGGTCCAGACTGGAAGGGTACCACGGAAAAGGCCACTGAGGACGCTGCACGCGGGCGGGATGCAGGCACAGGCAGAATGGGGCTCCTGTGGTCACTTCAGCGTGGCCCAGACGGGGCCCTGGCCACCCTCCCAAGGTCCATGGGAGACAGTGCTGAGATTTGGGTCCCGTAGCCACGCAAGGCCACGCAAACACAGGGCTTCCACATAAAGTTGGCAGGCATCTGCAGAAAGGCTAACTCCAGCTAAACATTTGGCAAAATTTGAAAGGTTCCAGCCCGGGAGGGGGGTTCCACGGGAGATTCATCCTGCGTTATTCATGAGGGAGAGGAGACAGTTTTCTAAAGGCGACGAGGACTCACACGGAGAATACTCCAATCTCTCACGATCCGTGAAGGGGCCCGGGAAAGCTGGGGAGCAGGTGTGGGGTCCCCGTCGTGCGAGTCGCGAAGCGGACACGGGGCCCCTGGGCGCTGGCGGCACGCGGCGGCTGGTCTGGGCCAAACCACAGGGCAAATGCTAGTGGTTCACAAAGTGGATTTGCCCGGGTGCTCAACACGCAGAACCACGGAGTTCAAGTTCGCCGCCTGTCAAGGAGCCGGGCTCAGGATGGCCGCGTGCAGACCCACGGCGGCTGCCCACCGGGATCGGGGAGGACTCCACCCCTGCATTCAGTGCAGCCTCCACGGCACCGAGCTCGCTCACTGGCTGGGCTTTCTATAAAGCACGGGTCCGTGTTCTGGAGCCGTGGCCCTCGAGTGCGGGTGTCCCCGGGGCACAGCCTCAGTGACTGCGGGCCTGAGGGGCTTTCAGTGGCACATCCGTGCGGTCATTTCTTTCTGTTAAGAACAAGCAGGATGTCAGGTATCGACACAAAAGGGGTGGAAACCACACACAAATGGAAAAGCAGGGGATCCAGTCTCCAGGGGCCCGCGGGCCTCATTTAACGCCAAACCTTACAAACAATGTGACAGGTAACAGTGCGCTGTGGGCCCGGGGTGGCACGCTATTTCTGGGAAGGGCCAGAGAGGCAGTGTCCCGGCCTGTTGAGGGAGCGTGGCCCCAGCAACGCAGAAACAACTAACTGCCTGCATGCCAATAGAACTTTATTCACAAAACCAGGCGGTCAGCCCGGGGCCACAGTGTACTGATTCGTGCCTTCTACAGTCGACTGGACACTGCAAGGAAACTTCTGGAAAGCAGCCTGGAAATAAAGAGGAATACTACGATACAGCCTTTAGACCCGGTGATGGCAGCCTCAAGAGTCTGTCCCAACAGATGAACGACAAATGCAAAAAAGCTAGGCATGAAGGCACCCCGCCACGTTCTCCAAGACAGAGCCCGGAAGCCTTGGTGCACAGGGCAGCCGGGCAGATCAGCACCCACTTCATCTACACACGGCCTCGGGAAGTCACGAGCTTAAGCGCTTTATCCTCTGCCTGGCGCCAGAAAGAACTCAAAGCATTGGGCGTCTGGGGGGCTCCGTCAGTTAAGCGTCTGCCTTTGGCTCAGGTCATGATCCCAGAGTCCTGGGATCGAGTCCCGCACTGGGTTCCCAGCTCCACGGGGAGTCTGCTTCTCCCTCTGGCCCTCCCCCACTCTGGTGCGCACGTGAGCTCTCTCTCTCAAATAAATAAAATCCTTTTTTTTTTTTAAGATTTTATTTATTTATTTGACAGAGAGAGACACAGCGAGAGAGGGAACACAAGCAGGGGGAGCGGGAGAGGGAGAAGCAGGCTTCCTGCGGAGCAGGGAGCCCGATGCGGGGCTGGATCCCAGGACCCTGGGATCATGACCTGAACCAAAGGCAGACGCTTAACAACTGAGCCACCCAGGCGCCCCTCAAATAAATAAAAATCTTAAAAAAAAACAAGAAAAACTCTAAGCATTGATGTGGAAGAAATGACAAGGGAATCAAGGCACTAAGTTAAAAAAAAAAAGAAAAGCAAGCAGATCATAAAACTGCAGGTTCCAATTTGCAGTATTTTGTAAGTAATACATGGGTGGAGGTGACCGTCACATAAGAGTACCCTTCGTAAGGCGAACAATTCATCAGCATTCACAGCCACAATGGCATGTACCCTTTGTCTATCCAGTTCCAGAACATTCCACCGGCTCGGAGTAACCTCCTCCCCATTAGGCATGCCTGCAGTAACTTCAACTCTGGAAAAGTCCACTGACAGGCAGAGCCTGCAAGGACCCAAAGACACTGGGAAAGTTTGTGTGAAGAATAATTCAGTAATTGTTGAAAACTGGGCAAGAATAGAGTTCAAAGACCTGAATCAATGGAGAAATCCACCGAAAAACAAGAAGAAGAAGAAAAAAAGCCCACATGGGAGTCCTGGGGTTGCGCAAAGGAAGCCGTGGGGACCCCCAGAGTGATGATCTCAGTCCCCTAGCAGCCAACCCGCAAGCCCAGGGCCCACTGGCCCTGGAACATTCTAGCATTTCCACGCTTGGGGAGATGCCCCACCCCCTGGAATGGCCCTGGGGGGCTCTGAGCACTGGCCTCACCTGGACCTCCTGGGGGGGGTGTTCTCCACCCTTGTGACCAGTGGTGGTGGCAGCTGGTGGGTACTTGGAGAGCAGCCACCTGCCGCCCTGACCTCACAGGTCCCGCTAAAAGCCCACAGCAGTTTGGGAGAGCGGGGGGGGAGGGGCCCCAGTGAGCCACTCTTGCTACCTGAATCGTCCCATCTCTGGGCTGGGGTTGGCACGGCTCCAGCTGGCAAATCCACAGCCGGAGGGTGGGCTTGAGGGTGCCGTTGGCTGGGATGGGGGCTGGGGAGTGCCTGCCAATGGGGATGGGGCTTCTTCTGGGGTGATGGAATGTTCTGGAACTAGAAGGCATGGTGATGGTTGTAGCACCTTGTGAATGTATTAAATGCCACTGAATCATTCAGTTCACAACGGATGATTTTAACTTATGTGAAGTTTACCTCAATTAGAAATAAATCACTGCTTGTTCTCCGGCCAGGCAGGGGAGACGGGGATGCCACGGGCCAGCCCCCCAGGCCGCTGCTGTTTACGGCACTGGAGACCCCCCCCGCCAGTGTCTCCCACAGGGCAAGGGGGACAGCCGCAGGAAGGACGGACGTCTCCAGGCCCCTCCTGGGATGGCTCTGGGCTGTGTGACAGGGGTGACCTCCCCGGGGAGGCCCCCAGGATTCAGGGCCTCCGCCTCTCGCGGGGGCCGGGGTGTTCACGTGGGCAGCCACATCCCCACCAGGCCCGCCAGCAGGGGCAGGGAGCAAAAAGAACCCAAAACCACCCCAGCGGGTGGGTCCCACGTGCCGGGAATCCAAGCGGGGGCCCCTCCATCTGCCGCCACGCCCAGTGTTGCCACGTCACAAATTTGGGCTGAAATCCGAGGAACCTACCTCAGCTCACTCTGTCTGCTCTGGGCTGCCCCGCAAGTGGGACGTGCGGGCTTGGGGGGACCTGAGCCGGGGACCCAATGCCCCCCACCCCCCAGCCGCCCTGCTCACCAGCGGCTCCAGCTCCTTGGTGTCGATGAGGCCGAACTCCTTGACGAAGTAGTAGAAGTGCTTGTAGCAGGTGTTGACGTGTGCCTCGGAGCCCATCTGCGCAATGCGGTCGAAGTGGTGGATGTAGACATGCACGAACACGCGGAACAGCCGTGACAGGATCTTCTTCACCACCTGCAGGAAGTTCTTGGGGAACGGTGTGCCTGCACACAGGGCGAGGGGCTCAGACAGGTTGGCAAACACCCCCCCCCCGGGGCCCTGGCCCGCAGCCCTCACGGACCAGGGACACCCTCCCGCCGTGGAGCCAGGACCACAGGGGACGCGCTGGCCACATGCCCCCCCCTTGGACCCGGGGCCCACGTCAGAACGGGGAGCGCTCCCTCCCTCCCCTTCCCTCCGCATCCGCGGGCCAGGGATCTGTGAGCCCCACAGCAGGTTCTGGGCCCTGGGCGTGTATTTCTGGTTAGGCTTATTTCTCCTAATAAAATGGGGCAACCCATAAAAATGTGTTTTTTGACGTCTGCCATCTTTCACTTGGTGTATTTCTCCCCACCTCGAGTGCGTCTTTATAATGTCACCTACATCCGAGCAACGACATAACTTAATCGCGAACGTGCACACGTTGTAACTCCTACTGTGGGGTTTAATGCTTCATTTTTCTTGACTGTGGTGAAATGCCCCTATGGGGGGGGTTCCCATGCCAGCACCCCCTCCACCGGCGCAGTCTGTGAGGCACCCCCACCCAAGCACGTGTCTGTCCCACAGCACAGCCGGGTGCAGCCAGCACCAGCAGGTGGCTGCCCAGGCCTGGAAAGAACGCGCGAGGGGCCCGCGGGCTAACAGCCCAGGGGGTGCACACGGAGATGCCGCGGGGCGGCTGCGGTGCACCAGGCGCTCACTCGCAGCACCTGGACGGCAGTGAGCATCGGGGTGCATGGGACAGGTAACGCTGCCGAAGACGGGCCAGCCCCTGACACGACGGAGCCCACGCGGCTGCTCTCCAACCGGGGCAGGCCTGCCGGGTGTGGAGCCGAGGGCAAGCGGGAAAGAAAAGGCTCTCCGTGAGCTGTGCGGGACAGGTCCAGCCTGACCCCGTGCCTTCCCGGGTGCACCCTGCCCCCTCCTTGGTGTCTGGGTCCAGGTGGCCTCTCGGCCCAGAACAGTGGCACTTGTACTCAGTCGGTGCTAAGCATCTGTGAATGGTGACCAGGGCCCAGTTCCTGGGCTGCTAATACCATGGAAGGTTTGTTCAGCATCACTGAGACCTCTGAGTTTTCCCTGTCACTTGACTCTGCAGAGATGAACCCCAAAGGTCATCTACAAACCCATGTTTGTGGGTACCTGAGGAGCAGCTACTGTCCTTGCAGACCCCTGAAGGCCACGTGGTAGGAGGTCCCCTTGAGGAGGTGGGAATCCCTATGCACTTGGGTCCTCGACTGGTGGATAAAAGGGTATAAGCTCAGAAAGAGGATCAAGCCCACGGCAAGCAGAGGAAGGCGGGATGGAACACCTTGGTCAGCTCTGAGCCTACACGGGGCCTGGGTCCGACGCTGACCCTGCCCCTTCTGTGTCCCTCTCCCGGCCGGGCAGCCACCAAGGGCAAGCCTGGGTGAAGGGGGAGCCCGGCTGGGACGGGCTCAGAAACGGCCACTGCACGGGCTTGCAATGATACACAGGGCGTGCCTGGCCCACCCCGTGCTTTTATAAATGAAGTTTAATGGGGGCACAGAGCCACCCGTTTGTTTACAAATTGCTTCTGGGGTCTTTTGGCCTACGGTGCAGATCCGAGTGGTCAAGACACAGACTGGCCTGTGACGCTGGAGAGATTTACCATCTGGTCCCCATGAGAAGAGGTGGGCCTGCCGCGGGTCTAACGTTGAGAGCACAGGCCGGTGGCTTGAGGCCTAAGTGGGTGTACAGGGGTGAGCAGAACCAACACAGGGGCCGGCATGTAACGTGACCCGTCCCCTCGGCCAAGCCACACATCTGACCCTGAGGCGTGCCCAGCCACGATTCTCAGAAGCACCACAGACAGAAAGCAGAGAAACACAGCCGCCTGTGGGAAGCACGTCGTTCTGGCCACCTAGCTGGGGTCCCGAAACAGGGCTGGCAGGTACCACCCAGGCCAGGCAGGCCCCCCGATGTGAGCACGGAGGAGAGGCCAGGGGTGCTGAGCCCGAAGAACGGCGGCCTGGCCTCAGAGTCCCGCTGGGCGGCCGTGTGGCACCTGCCCAATTCCTTTTCTCTGCCTCTCACCAGCAACCAGTTTGGTAAACCCGGCGACCTGATGGAGGGACCACTGGGAATCCCGAGTTTGGGAAAGGACAAGTCTGGGGTGGCTTCTCCCCAGATGGTCCCTGAAAGCCCTCTGCCAGTGTCAGCCCTTTCCTGGTGCAGGCGGCGAGGGGGGTCCCAGGGGAGAAGCTGGAGCGGGTGCAGAGCTGGGCCGGAGATCTGTTTGCCTGACTGGTGTTCCGGGACCACGTCAACGCCGATAGTGACGTGAAAGCCACGTCTGCGGGGAGTCTCCCAGTGCCACCGTCACAGACCATCACCGGCTCAGCGGCTTAAACAACTCATGCATCTCTCACAGTTCTGAGTCCGTGTCACCGGGCCGGGGTCGCGGTCCCGGCAGGACTGTTCCTCTGGAGGCTCCGGGGAGAATCGGTCTCCTTGCTTCCTCTGGAAGCTGCCAGCATTCCTAAGCTCACGGCCCCTCCCTCCTTTCCCTGCTGTCATAACACGTTCTCCCCTCGCGTGTCCAATCTCCCTCTGCCTCCCTCTTACGAGGACCTTGTGATGACATTCAGGGCTCAGCAGGATGATCCAGGGGTATCTCCCATCTCAGGGTCCTTAACTTAAAGCAGAATGTGTCCCCCACATGCAGGCACATCCCTCAGCCGCGGACAGGAGCAAGGCGCCCACACGCGTGGCCCCGGGGACGGACCCCGAGCCCACGACGCTCAGGGAGGGAACCAGACACGGAAGGCCACACGGGGTGTGAGTCCACGTGGGTGACACGTCCAGAACGGGCTCATCCGTGGACAGGAAGGGGGCTCGCGGGGGCCGGGGGCCGGGGGGGGATGGGGAGGGGCTACTGGGGAAAGGGATTCCCTGCAGGTGATGGAATGTTCTGGAATTAGACAGTAGTGATGGTTGCACAACTCAGTGAATGTACTAACAACCAGAGTGGACAGATCCCGAGGACACCGGGCTCAGTGAGAGGAGCCAGACCCAGAAGGACACATCCTGCAGGAGGACCCCACTCCCAGGAGGTCCCCAGAGGAGTCCCGTCCACACAGACAGAGAGGAGAGGGTGGGAGCCGGGGCTGGGGCAGGGGGTGGGGATGACGGCTGACGGGGACCAGGTTGCTTCGGGTGGAATGTTCGGAAACTCTGCAAACGTATTCCTAAATGCCACTAAACCATACACTTTAAATGGCCTGGCGCCCCCCACGGCCCCGCCCGGCCCCCTGACTCACCGACGTGGGTGGGGAAGAGCTCCTCGTTGTTGATCTGCACCTCGATCCAGTCCATGAGCAGGTCCATGTAGCGGGGGGCCGACAGCGCCGTGGGCTTGCGGAACTGGTGCTCGTCCTGCCAGCGATACTCATACTTGGGGCCACCCGACATGACCGGGCAGGACTGCTCCGTGCAGCCATCGCCAATGGTGCCGTAGATGAGGTTGACGCGGTTGAAGAAGTCCACCACGTGCACGGCCACCCAGTCACTGAGCTCCTCGCCAGGGGGCAGCTGCACGGCCAGCTTCAGGTCCAGCCCCGCGTTCAGCGACGCCTGGGCCTTCTTGTGCAGCTCGAACCGCTGGGTGCCCGGCTCGAACTTGCGCTTGGGGCGGAAGGTCTTGTCCTTGTTGAAAACTTGCTTCAGGAAGGGGTTGGACATCTCGGCCCCCTGCCCGGTCAGCACGCTCCCTGGCGACGCCTCTGCAGCGGGGCCCGGGCAGGATGTTCGCGTCAGGTGGCAGCCCAGGCGACGGAGATTCGCTGGGCCCCAGGCCTTCGCTAAGACCTGCAACACAGAAAGGGGAGGACCTGTCAGCTGTTTCTGGAGACCCCGCTCTGGAAGCACCAGGGGGCCGGACCGGGAGGCTCCCAGGACTCGTGGTTTTCAGTTTCACCAAGACGGCACCAGTTCCTCCGCGGACAAAATGGTCCATGGCAGGTCCCAACTGCCTCAGAGCAGAAGACGCAGAGACAGCCCCCGACAAGCCAGAGCTGGAGGCATCTCCCCCATGCCCGGAGGCTTTCTTGCACCGCGGGACGGAGTGTGGAAATCTGCACAGAAGCTAAGGCGGCCTGCAGCGGGTCTGTGGTGGCCTCCGTGAAGAGAGGCCCACATCCCTGGGACCTACAAACGGAACCTCACTTGGAGGAAGGTTCTTTGCAGGCGTGATTAAGGACCTGGGGCTCGGCTCCTTCTGGATCATCCAGGTGCCCCTAGTGTGATGACATCTGTCCTGATAAGAGCAGACAGACACTGCAAGAGGCCGGAGGCGGGAGCGCCGTCCCCACGGCCCCTGAGGGAGCCAGCCCTGCCCGCACCCTGGCTGGGGCACTGGCCTCCAGAGACGGGAAAGGATAATTCCTGTGTTCCCACACTTGCACCCAAACCTCCTCGTCGCACCGGGGCCCCCCCTAACCTAGCCCGAGGACGTGTGCAAAGACCCCATTCCCAACGGGCCGACCTGAGTTCTGGGGGGACGCCCTCCACCACAGTGCCTGTCTCAGAAGCCTGGACGAGCCTGTCCGGGTCCGGCCCGTCCAACACGGGACCATGGCTCCTGGGAGCGTGGGCCGGGCTGGGACGGGGGAGGCCGGGCGCGGAGGGACCGGCGGGGTGGGGGTCTTGGCAGTTGACCAGGCCTAAGGCACAGAAGGGGAAGTCTGCAGACAACAGGGAAGTGGAAGGACCCGCCGGTGGCCCCACCCCCATCGCACGCCCTGCGCCCAATCACCAGCTACGGCACAGCAAACGCCCGCCCGGTTTCTCTCTGCTTAAACTGTGGAGGTCATTCCTCTGATTCGGGACCGGCTGGTTGCCAGGCGGCCCGCCCCTCCCGCCCCAGCACACTGCTGCAGCAACCTACCAGACCCAGGGCTCCTAGGAGCCCGACTGCAAAAGTTCTGCAGGTTCCACATCTGGAACGGGACTCCTGGGGGCTCCTGCCTCTCCCAGCTTCTGGAGGCCCCCCCGCCCCCTCTGACCTCTGCTTCCCTCATCACACCTGCTTCTATGGGCACACCCCTCACCCCCTCCCCCTGGCCGAGGGCGGCCTCCACAGAGAGTGCCCAACTCGATGTCAGCACCTCCGCCAACGGCGGAGCCAAGCGAGCGTATGCAGGGTCCCCGGGACGAAGCTGTTGGGCTGACAACAGGGGTGCCCCGGCTGCCAGCAAGCGTGCGGTAAGAGCTTTGTCCCGACTGCAGCAGGCATGGCCCCCGAGAGCCGGTGCCCCTCCCGTGGGGGCCACACGGGAAGCAGCGGCAGTGTGCCCATGCTCCTTCACCTTCAGCCGAGACCCTGCGGCCAAAGGCCAGGCTGGCCCCCCCATGCCAGCAATGGCGTTCCAGACGCCACGCGAAATGTGCCAACGGCTTAACCCGGTGCTGGGGCCGGACAACTGTGCCCCTGCGGCTGTGGAGTGGCTGTGCAGACCCGCGGGGCGCTTGGGGCTTAGGGACCGCAACACTCGTGCAGGGCCTCGAGAGCTGGTCCTCCTGGGGTCACCGAGGGGTGTGGGGCCAGATGGGAGGCGGCAGCAGATATGGAGCGACCCCCCCCACCACGGCTGCCCGACCTGGCCAGCATCGGCCTCGCCCTCGGTGTGTCCCCGGGACCCCTGCTCACAGGGCTCAGACGCACCCGATGTGCCCTGGTCAGGGGAGAGGACGTGGTAGGAAGAATAAAGGCCCCAGAGACCTCCCCATCATGGTCCCGGGACCTGGGATGTGTCCCCTCACGTGGCAGAGGCGACCTTGTCATGGCCCCGAGGTGGGAGTGACCCTGGGTTCCCGGCGTCCTCACGAGGCCCTCACAAGAGGGAGGCAGAGGGTGGGAGTCCCAGAGATGGGCAGACCCCGCGCTGCTGGCGGTGAGGATGGAGGGGGGGCCGCGGGCCAGGGAAAGGCCGGAGCCGGGTCTCCCGGGGGGACCAGCCCTGCCTGTGCCATTTTGAGTGTGACCTCCAGAACCGTGAGATGACAGATCCGTGTTGCTTTAGGCCATGAAATTTGTGGTCACTTGTTAGAGCAGCCCCAGGAAACCCTGAGGAGCCAACAGTCCCAGGCTACACACGGTATCCTAACGAGCACTGGTTAGAGTAGCTGTGAATGACATCCAGGCCCTGGGTACACGTGGGCCCGAGGCCTCCCCTTCTCTGCGCTGACCGGCGAAGCCCGACCACCTTCTGGGCCCAGCTGTGCAGCATGGGTGCTGGAAGGTCTGCTCAAGGCAGCATAAACCACGCAGAACACCGGAAGTGAGCGTCAGGGATGGAAAAGCTGGCCAAAGACAATGGAGCCAGAGGGACGGGAGAGACCCCACCGAGAAGGGGAGGGAACCACCACTCTCCACGAGAACGGCTGTCACCACGAAGGACAATCACCAGGGCCCATGATGACACGCAGAAATCAGACCCCTTGTGCATGGCTGGGCGGAGCCTAAGACAGGGCAGCCGCTGGGGAAACAGCCCAGCAGTTAGAGAGGGCGGTCTCCTGGGTCCACCCCCAAGACAAGTGACAACAAAATCCACACAGACACTTACACACTTCGCAGCAGCACGATTCATGATCATCACCCCAGGGTGGAAACAATCCAAACGTCCACAGCAGGTGATGCGTGAATAAGCTGTGTCCCCCACACAGGGGAGCGTCGGCGCCCACACGCGCTGCCCTGGGCCGGACCCCGAGCCCACAACGCTCAGGAAGGGAGCCAGACACGGAAGGCCACACGGGGTGTGAGTCCACGTGGGCGACTCCAGACAAGGCCCGCTCTGAAGCAAGAGGGACGCGTGGCCGTGAACACAGGTGCTTTCACCTGCTTCCCCACGGCTGCTCCCGTCACTTCCTGCCGTGCCGGCTCCCGGCCAGGCACTTCCTGGACACCCTCCAAGGATGCGGCAGCCGCACCGAGCAGAAGGGAACACGGGCCCGGACCGGGTCTGCACCCTGGGCCCTGCTAACATCAGGCTGTCCCAGGTGCTGTGGGGGGCTGAGCAGCACCCCCAGTCGTGAGGACACTGCCCAGTGTCCCCCGGGGGGCAGAGTCAAAGACCCTGCATTAAAGACAGTGACTCGGCGCTACCCAGTTAAGGATTAGCTCCATCACCGGGCAGGGAGGACCTTGAGCTTGAACCCTGGGCTGCGTGGGTGAAGCCACCACCTTTTCTGCCAGGACACACGCCTCCATGGCAAAGTGGCTGTCCATGAGTCAGGCGTCCATCGGGCTCACCCCAAAGCAGGGCCAGCTACCCCCCGGGTCGGGGCTGCTCCCCTACTGCACCCCTGCACACACAGGTTGGGGTGCTTTCCAGGTCCCAGGCCTGGGCACAGGCCCAGGCACTCAGGGCCTGGATGGTGGGAAGGTGGCACCTCAGAGCACAAGGTGCAGCCACACTCACCCCACCTGCAGCCCAGGGCCCCTCCGCACCATGGCCGGGTGCGCTGGACAGGCCGGTGGGGACCCCCGGGCCCACCACCTGTGACCGATCACGCCCAAGCATGCCCGGTGGTTAATCTGCGAACTTGGCCACTCTCAGGTCACCATGGGTGCAGGTCAAGGGGCAGCAATCCCCTGCGGACCGATGGGAAGAGCAAGTCACCTCTGCCCTTGCCGCCTGACAGCAGGGCTCGCGTACTTCTGCACTGACGGTCTCATTTCAACCTGCAAACACCCTTCTGCTTGAGAAGACGAGGTGGGGGTTGCGTCCTTCGTCCGCCCGGGCTGGGGTCACTGCGGCTCCTGCCGTGCGCCGCCTGATCTCTGGGCTCCTCATGTACCCCGCAGCTGAGCTGCACCCAGGCAGCAATCCCAGGACAGGGGAAAGGCACCCGCCACTGCCCTGCTGTTGGGGCCTCTCGGGGTGGCCCTGGGAGCTTGGCCTGCCACCACGTCACCTGGGGACCCGCAACCCGCACAGACAGAAGCGGGCCCTGTGGGATGGGAGGGGGCCTCAGGGGCATGACAGGGTCCGCGTGCCTCCACGCCAGGGACCAGACGCACACCAGGCCAGTTCTGGAAGATGGGGGGAGGGCTGACAGGCCTCCTGCTCGCTCTCTGTCTCCTCGCAGAATGTGCGAGGATTTCCTGCAAAACTCCCCTGATGGAGAGAATTCCCCTCACATGCAAAGGGCTTTCTATGGGGACACACGTGCCCCATGGCCGAGGGGTGGCCGGCCACCTCAGAGTGCCTTTGCCTTGAGAAGCGCCGCAGGAGGCGACCCCCATCACCACCCCCAGCCCTGGTTCCCGGCTCTTCCCAGACACGTCCGAGGATGGCGCAGGGGTGGGACAGGCTTCTGGGGGTGGCCCAGGCTCTCCCCTCAGACGAATGTGGGCGGTACTTAGAAACTTCTAGACTGATGAAGGTGAGGTGACAAAACTCCCCAGCCCCAACACACGGCCTCCTCCCCCTCTCTTTTTCTGAAAACCAAACAAAACACAGTTCCTCCAAGCAGCTGCCTTGCATGACCCTCCTGGGGAGGTGCAGCGCGGCCCCTGCCACTTCCTTCCGGTGCCTCCACATCCTGCCTCAGCCGCGGCCGCGCCCCTGCTCCGGGGACACTGCGCTGGAGCCGGGGGGGGGGGGGTGTCTAGACAGACAGGCCCCAACCGCAGAGGTCGGCCCCATGTGTTCCAGACCAGCAGGCAGACCCTGGCTCCCGGCCGGGCAGCAGAGTGTTTGGCTCGAAGATGCTCGAAGCCCAAGGATCAGTCCTGCCCAAGAAGGCCGCACCCCAGAGCTGTCTTCCACCACCGAAACGTTGATTTTTAAATATCAGCACTGCTCCCTGGGTGGGAAGCCACCTGCCGTCCTGCAGGACTCACAGGAAGGTGGCTCCAGCCCCCGCCCCCCACCACGGGGTACGGCGTCCTGTTGGCATTTGGCCCTCATGTCTTTGCTTCTGGGGTGAAGTTCCCCAATTTGTTTTGTAGGAAGGCAGGAAGTGGTTTGCTGAGACCACACCAGGCCAGGCGCTCTCAAGGGGCTCTGCATACTTCAGCCCTCCTGACAACCCTTTTATAAACAACTGTGATATAATTCACGTACTGTAAATAGTATACAATTTTAAGGTATACAATTCAATGGCGTTTAATAAAATCAGAGTAGGGCAAACATCACCACAATTCTAGAACATTCTCATCACCTCAAAAAACACCCTGTGCCCATCAGCAGTCACTCCCCATCCGTCTGTTATGGGTTGAATCGTGTCCCCCAAAACATACCACTGGCACCTGTGAATGGGACCCTCTTTGGAAATAGGGTCTTTGCAGAAATAAAGATGAGGTCACACTGGATAGGGTGGCCCCAGCCCAATGACAAGCATCTCTATAAGAACAGGGAAATCTGGACGCAGACACTCGGAGAAGTGGGCCATGCGACCACAGTGGCAGAGAGGGGGTGACAGGTCTACGAGCTGAGGGGTGCCTAGGATTACCTGGGACTCCCAGAAGCCGGGAGAGGCAGGAAGGACGTCAGTGTCAGAGCGTACAGCAAACAGCAGGGGGGCCTGGATGTGGGCCCAGGTGTCCTGTGCCTCCCACCTGTGCTGCACCAGGGCGGAGGGAGTGCTGGCTGCACACGGGCCCGCACAGACTCTACGCCCCCTCCACCATGGGGACAAGTACTGAAATACTGTTTGACAAAACCACGTCACCTGGGGGACAGCCAGCGAGCCGGCAGGGATGCTGGTGTCGGTTTGGGAGCTGCGCCTCTTCGCGAGGCCCCCCGCCTGTTTCACCGAGCAGAGGCCCGCATGTCAGGAAGGGCAGGGCATGAGAAGCAGAGCCCCCTCACTGCTGTCCAAACACGGACTCCCCCACTGGCTGTCCAAGCTTCCTTTTAGCATCAGGATGCTCAGGACGTGCCCTGGACTCTGCGAAGACCCTGGTCTGAAGGGGACACCGCGTGTCCGCAGCAGGCCAGGCCCGTCCACTCACGGACTGCACTCTCTCCAGGGTGCCGTGCCCGGCGCCCAGCTCCGCTGGGGGTCTCCCTGGGGCCACTCTGCCCCCAGAGATGCTGGGCCACGCCTGGGGACCCCTGGGGTGCTCCTGACACCGAGCGCACGGGGCCGGGGATGCTGCTCATCCCCCACAGTGCCCGGGACGGCCCTGAACAGAGTGACCCCGTCACAGATGTCTTATTTTGGACTCAGGAGACGCAGAAGCGCCTGTCTCCTTTCCAGAATCTGGTTTCTGAAATTGGATTTGCCTTTTCTGCTTAAGCAATCTGAACCTCGAAATTCTAGGAAATCAGGAACAGGGCTCTCCAGCTGGGGCACGTCTAAAACTTCCCTGAGTAAAAGCCCAAGCTCTGAGCCAGCTGCTTGGGGAATTTCTGTTAAAGCTCCATTTTACGAAGCTCTGGAGAAGGGAGAACAGCTCCCGGAAACGTGATTAATAGCTGACTCCACTGAGTTGCCTTGGCTTTGGTGTGTCTGTACATACGAAACAAACGGACTAAAAGTGTTTAGAAAAAAAGCTCAGGAACTGGACTAGCATTTCTGAGAACTCCCTGAGGAAGTAAAATAACCACTTTTGCTTCTGCTGAAAGAGAGAGAGAGAGAGAGAAGGGCGGTGTCATAGGATTCAACTCGCCAGGTTACTCGGGGCGCCTGGTACACAAACACTGTGCTCATCAGCGTTCTGAGAGATGTAAAGACGGGAAGGACACGCTCCCCCTGCAGAGAGGTTCAAATAAAAGCCATCGAGCCAGGCAGAGACACGGAGGCACCTCAGCGGCACGTCCCTGGGTGAGAGCAGCCGGGCTGAGAAGGCCGCACACCGTGTGGTTCCGGGTCTAGGACGTTCTGGAAACGGCAGAACCGCGGAGGGGGAACGAGGATCAGCCGTGGCCGGGGTGGGGGAGGGTGACGGGCGGAGCACGGAGCGTCGGCAGGGCCAGGAACTGCTCTGTGCCGCGCTGTGATGGTGGACCGCTGTCCGTGACACTCGTCCAAACCCACAGCGTGTGCGGCACCGACAGTGAGCCCTGGCGTCACCTGCGGCCTGTCGTTCACAATGTCCCAGTGTGGGTCCGTCAGCTGTCACAAACATCGGGCTCTGGCGGGGAGGCCGGTCATGGGGGGGGCTGTGCATTTACAGGGAGAGGGGGTCTGGGGGAACTCCACCTTCCACTCTGTTCTGCTCTGAACCTCGACTTAAACAAAATGATAAGCAACACTAATTCAATGACAATACACCAAGCATTTGGTTAAATCCCTGAGGAGCTTACCCCGTTTAAGAACTAACTAAAGCCACAGAAAACAACGAATCCTGTGAAATCAGGAGCTGGACTGACATTTGCGGAAAGAACGTCACAGAAAACACTAGGACTATAACATGCGCCATGGGCAAGATTTCAGATTTTCCAGTAACTTTGCCAAAAAGCGAGGAAGTGCAAAGAAACAGGTGAGGTTACTATTAATACTGTATATCACATTTTACCCAGGAACACCAAAACATCATTTCAACACCTAGCGGATACAGACGTTACGGACGTTTTGCCTTTTTTTTTTTTTTTTTGGAAAAACGAGGCGCCCTCTGTGTCTGGGACTTGGTGCGCATGTGGTGCCTGCAGCACATCCCGATTGGGACAAGGCCCGTTTCAAAGGGCTCTCGCCACACGGGGCCTTCGGCTGGGGCACCCGCCAACTCAGCTCCGCTGGGGTGAGCGAGAGGGGACGCGCCGCGTGGGGGGCATGGCGCGAAGAGGGTGCTGCGGGGCGTGGTGCCTGCAGCGGGAGCGGAGGCGCAGGCCGGGCGCCCGCTTGCTCTGCTCTCACCCGTAACCAGCAGACTGACTCAGTGCGTTCTGAGAACGGACCCCGACAGGCGGCCACGAACACGCGCGGCCGCAGCCAGTCCTCAGCAGGTCCACGGGGACTTCCGGGGAGGCTGCGGGGCGCTGCCCCGCTGTCGGCCGGGGCGGCGACCGTCGCTGTCCCTCCGGGCTGAGCCTGTGGAGTGCGCTACGAGCCCCGAACCCCACGAGTGGTGGGGGCGGGAGGAAGGACGCGGCTGCGTGGGGCCGTGCGCCGCAGGACCAAGTCCAAAAGCAGAAGGCGCATCTGCCGCTTGGGAGAGATCCGGCCTCGCCGGCGCCCGCGTCCGCCCCCCAGAGCACCCACCTGCGGTCTCACGCCCAACCGGCCGGGCGGCGCTCGCGGCTGTCCGGCGTCCAGCGTCCGCCGCCCGGTCCCCTCCGCAGCCGTGGAGCAACAGAGGGCGCCGCCCGCCCCGACAGAGGTACTTCCGCTGCCGGCCCGGGCCTCCCCGGAAGCCGAGCCGGGGTGGGGCGAGGTCTAGAACGAGGGGGGCGCCCCCCGCAGCCGCGCTCTCCGTTGCCTGGCAACCGGAAACGGGCCGGGACACCATTGGCTGGTGCCAGCGGCTCCAGGCCGGGGGCGGAGCTTGCGCAGTGCCGGCAACGCGGAGCCGGTCCTCCCGCCTGGGCCAGCCCGGAAGGAGGAGCTAGCGCGTGCCGTGGGCGCATGCGTGGGGCGCGGCCTGAGGGCGGGGCCGAAGCCTCCCCTGGGCGGGGCGGCTCGTGGGCGGGGCCAGCAGCTGTCCGTTGCGGGGCCGGGGGCGGGGCCTGCGCCGAGGGCGTGGCACGGGAGGCGCCGTTGGTTGGCGGGCGGCGGGCGGCGGGCGGCCGGTGGTGGGCGACGGGCGGCGGGCGGGCCATGGCGCTGCTACTGTGCTTGGGCCTCACGGCGGCGCTGGCCCGCGGCTGCCTGCACTGCCACAGCAACTTCTCGGAGAAGTTCTCCTTTTACCGCCATCACGTGAACCTCAAGTCCTGGTGGGTGGGCGACATCCCCGTGTCGGGCTCGCTGCTCACCGACTGGAGCCAGGACACGATGAAGGAGCTGCACCTGGCCATCCCCGCGGAGATCAGTAAGCGCGGGGAGAGGAGGGGGGCCCGCCCGGGCGCTTGTCGGCCCCGCCGGACCGCCCCCCGCCCCCGCCCCAGGCGCTCACCTGCCTCCGCCCGCCCCCAGCCCAGGAGAAGCTGGACCAAGTGGCGAATGCCGTGTACCAGAAAATGGATCAGCTGTACCAGGGCAAGATGTATTTCCCCGGTAAGCGGGCGGCAGCCACAGCCGCGCGCGGGGAAACGGAGACTGCCCCCCTCCTCCCACCGCCCGAGCCTGACCTCCCTCCTGCCCACCCGCGGCAGGGTATTTCCCCAATGAGCTGCGAGCCATCTTTCGGGAGCAGGTGCACCTCATCCAGAATGCCATCATCGAAAGTGAGCGAATGAAGGGCCCGGGGGTGGGGGGAGGAGGGCAGAAAGGCAGCTCCCCGAGGCAGCGCCCCTCCGCCCCGCGGGCAGCGGCAAGGCCTCGTGGATAAACCCCACCCCTCCCTGCCCCCTGGCCCTGCCGGCCCCTGGAGGCATGGGTGAATACTGCTGCTGCCCTCCCACAGTGGTTTGCTCCATCCCAGGCTGAGAGCACCACCTGGGGGGTCTTGCAGGGCAGGAAGGGTGGGCTGGAGCCGGGGACAGACAGGTTGGTCCCCTTGACCCCCCACAGGCCGCATCGACTGTCAGCGTCACTGTGGTGAGTGAGCCGCCGTGCAGCCCGTGGGGTCCAGCGGCGGCGGCCGCCCTGGAGGCCGCGGCGGGGGAGCTTGCGCGGTCTCTCCTGTGATGCAGGCATCTTCCGGTACGAGACCATCTCCTGCACCAACTGCACCGACTCGCACGTCGTCTGCTTTGGCTACAACTGCGAGTAGGGCTCAGGCTGGGGTGAGGAGGGGCGGGGGCCCCAAGCCCGAGGTCTGGGGCTAGCCTGGGACCCTCCTCCGCCCCTCCCTGGCCTTCCAGCACCCGGGGAGGGCAGGGCTCTGGGCCCGGGGCCGCCCCATCTCCAGTCTCCACGCCCGCGCGCCCGCAGGTCTTCGGCACAGTGGGAGACAGCCGTACAGGGCCTCCTCCGGTACATGTGAGTTGGGGCAGCTGGGCTCCGGGAGGGCACCCCGACCTCCAGCCCTGCCAGCCCCTGAGTCCAACGCTGCTGTCGTTGTAGAAATAAGTGGCACAAGTACGTGAGTTTTATCCAAGGCAGTGAGTGTGCTTGTAGCCCTCGTGGGTGAGTGTGCGCCGGCGCAGGCACAGGAGCGGCACCTGGCTCGCGTGCCCGTGCCCGCAGCCGTTCCTTCCGCGCGCGCCTCTGGGCTAAGCGGGCACACGGGGGGCAGGACAGTGGTCAGCGCTGGGGAGGGCCCCCGTGATGGATTTGCCCCAGTGGAGGGACCCGAGGGCCAAGCGGGACCCTGTCGTGTCTTTCAGACAGGACACGAACACAAGGTAAGCCACCCCCTCACCCCCGGCCTGTCCTGTCCAAAGCCCTGGCCAGGCTTTCTGGAAGGGAGGTGGGGATGAACTGGGAGGGGCTGGAGAGGGCAGACACAGCCGGCAGGGATCTCTGCACCCGGGACAAGCCAGATGTCACCTCACAACCACAACCAAGTCATCACTTCATGAATAAACATCAGCTCCTCCTCCCCTGGGCGCACAGAACCACTCCAGCCTTGTGAGTGGCCCAGAGGAGGGAGGCTGGGAGCCCCGGTGGGCTCCGCACAGAGGGGTTGAGCCTAAGCCAGAGATCAGAGCCCAGTGGCCAATTTGCCCAAGCCCCCCACCCAGTTTTTGCAGCCTGTTGTGGGAGTGTTAGGTGTGACCCCAGTGCTGTCTAGAGGATTCGAACAAGCCAGGGCCTCCAAGCTGAGCTTTGATGGTCTTGTCTGCAGCCCTGTCACAGGCCCCAGGGCCCCAGCAAAGACTCGGGGGGGGGGGGCCTGTGAGGTGGAGCAGGAACAGGAGGGCTGAGGGCACCCATGTCTCCCCAACAGTCTGATATCACCAAGCTTCACGTGTCTCGAGCCCCCACACCTGGCCAACCTGACTCTAGAAAATGCTTCCGAGTGTCTGACACAGCACTGACAACCACCGGGTTTGCCAGACCGGCCCTTGCCTTGAGGTGGAGCCAGGACTCAGCGGGACTGTCCCAGCCTGACCCCACGGAGCAGGCCTGCTGCTGCCTTGAGTCCCTCCACTCCCATCAGAGCCTGGGGGCCCCCGGGAGGGCTATGCGGCTCTGTCGGGCAGGGTCACAGAGCTATTAGATGCAATGATTAAATGTCCCTGACATTTCTCATCACAGAGCGGTCCTTCTCAGGGCAACGGGGGGGGGGGGGCAGGACTGAAGGCCCAGGGATGTCCACGCCCATTTCAGTGCAATCCATCTAAACACAGCCAGGCGGACTTCGATGGAAACAAGTTTGTGGGTGGATGGGTGCTCCTGAGGACTCAACGTGAAAACCAGGGCGTTTAGGTATCTCTTGGGGTTCATACCACGCTGGACTAAACCTGAGCCACAGGAGCACGGGAAGTGTCCCCTGGCGTTGTTTCCTTCTGCAAAGCCTCCACATGACTTATGAGAGGCTCCAAGTGCTTGATCTGCGCGGCAGACAAGCAGGGGACTCGGGGACCAGAGTCCTGCTGGGAGGTGGCCTCATGCTAGGAAGTGCTGGCAGCGGTCCGTCCAGGTCAGGAGAAGTCCACGGGGCGCGTGGGGAGCGACACGCTGGCGGGCTGTGGACAGCAGTCTCATGGGCCGAGCGCCCCTCCAAGGGGATGGGTGTTGGGGGCACAGGCTGGTGGCCAGGCCAGTGCCGCCCTCGCCGCATCAGCATCGGGTCTGACGTGGTAGGGGACACGCTGCTCTTTCCACTGAGAAGACTCAGAGCGCCTTGTGGCTGGTGCTTCTGGACGGATGACTGTCAAGCAGGGACGCTGGTGGCAGGTGGGTCTGCCCAAGGCCCGGCTCTCCCGGGGCCTCGTCTGTGCTTGGGCTCCACACTCTCCCGCCTGCGATTCCAGCTAGACTTGATCTGGCTTTCTGTCTGCTGACCCAGCCTAACTCATCTCGAATTGTCCCTTGTCCACGTGGTGTCAGTAAAGCCAGTGGAAACGTGGCAAATTAGACCAACATGAGCAGGGCCTGCCTCGCAGCACCTGTTCCTGCCGCTCACCCACATGCCCCTCACTAGTGGGGTGCCCTGGGAAAGGAAGGGAGGGCATGTCCACTGTGCATCACTGGTGGACCCCCGGAGCCCGTGGGTCAGGCAGCTCCTTGCCACACCGCCCAAGCTCAGGCGCCCGGACGGTGTATGGGGGTGACATCACCTCCATCATGTGGGGAAGGGCACATGGGCAGGAGGGGACAGGGAGCCCCAGACTCCAGCCAGCCCCCTGGCAGTTCGAGGACCGTCCAGAGTCCCCGGCTGCGAGACCCCTTTATACTGCCGGGCGCGCGCTGGCACCGGCAGCACACCCAACAGGTTAAGTGTCTGTTTTACAAGTTTATTGGATCATCTTGACACAAAATCATTACAGCAGTGTGATATGTCTCTCCTTTATCTGGGAATGTCGATAGCAAATCAATTCTTATATAACACATCATACAATTCTGAGGTTCTAGAATCACCGCACAGGATTCTGTAATAGGTTACTCTACATGCTAAAGTGACAGTGTTCGTCAGAAGGAAGTTACGTCATTGAGGACCATCACCTCTGAGACAGCTCATCTCACGGGGCGTGGTCCGGGCTCCCTGTGCCCCACCCCGTGGGGTACACTCCAGGGGACGGTGCCACCCCAGGAGTACGCCTTCCCAGCAGCTGCAGGCATAACATGGGACAGACCCTGTGGAGCATCCAGCGACAGGAAGGACCTGGAATCCCAAACAGTCCCACCACCCACCAAACGATGCCGACGGACACACATCTCACTGAACGGGAAAAAAAACCGTAAACCAACAGGGTCCAGGTCCTGCTCCATCAGGGATCCTGACTGGACCCCCAGGGCGGGTGGCAGCCCCCTGTCCGACACCTGAACACGCAGGTAGGACGCAGAGAACACGACAGACAGCGGCCTGCACGACCCTCTGGCCACCAGACGTCCTGACCCACGGCTGGGAGGGGGAAGGGGAACATCTCTGCAGTGAGCTCGTGCCCGCGGGCAGGGCATCTGGGGGACTCGTGGGACTCAAGACGGCCTCACGGAAGGACACGCCACTCTGCGCCGTCCACGGAGCGCCCACAGCCCGGAGAGCGGGGACGCCTGCTCCTCAGGTGGCCGGCCTCGCTAGCGGGGGCCCTGCCGGTGGGGACGGCATCAGGGCTTTTCGCCAGACAGAGTGGCAAAGAGTCAAAGTAAAAACAGCGACAGGATACATCAACGCAACGCGTCACCTCGCCACGTCAGCAGTGGGCGCCGTGTGTCGGCGAGGCCACAGGCCAGGCTCAGCACTTGGCCAGCGTGGCTTTCAGCTCCTCCAGCAAGTTGCTCAGCAGCGTCGAGTCACTGCATTTCCCATCGACGGATACGGACTTCTCCCCCTGAAAAAGAGAAAACCACCCCAGAATTTTAAGATACATGAAAACACTGCCTCGTGATGGTACGTTCATCCTTTAAGTTTTCACAGTGCCCTCCTTAGTGTTCTGAGACCCAAAATGAGGGAGGGGCCCCGGGTCGGATGGAGCGTCTGCCTGGCACGAGTGAGGAGACCGGCCGAGGCGCAGGGCGGCCCAGGGCAGACCGAGGACGGAGACCAGAACTGGCGAACCCTTATCCCGTGCCGTGTGAGGGCTGGGCAGAGCGGGGTAATCAGCCAAAC